TCTTTTTGTTAATACGCAGCATTTTTCTCTTCAGCTCCATGTATTATCATCCTCTCCTCCGATAGAGAGATCAAGCCTTCTTTTTTTTTTCTCAAATTTGTACACCCAACCCCCATCCACCACCACCTCTCTCTCTTGCTTCCTCTCTCTCTCTCTCTCTCTCTCTCTCTGTGTGTGTGTGTGTGTGCGTGAGTGTGTGTTTCCTGTCCCCTCGTTTGCACTGGTTTGTAGAGCATGTAAATGTAGTTACATATTTCTCTTGATACACGTTCGACGTGGTATGAATATGTATGATTTTACAACCACTAAAAGAGCAATAAATCCTCCGTATTCAACCACCGACAAATGGGGGATTATAAATAACCAATTTAGCAATTGCATTAAGTAGACTCATATATTTCGTGTGACCCATTTTACCACGCATACGTTAACTTGGTCAGATAAGAGAGAGAAGTCGTAAATTTGTCAATTAGGAAAATTATGGCTAGTGTTGTTGCTTAAAAAAAACAATTTCTCTGTGCCCTTTCACATACGTTTATGCCAACATATCCAAGGCATTTAGATATTTAAATATTTCAATAACCGAATCTAATATTTAAAACCCTATGACATTTAGCATGTAGATTTTCTGTTTGACACTTTGAGACAAAAACTTTAAATACTCCACGCTACAAACATGTGCCTTAGACCAATATATTAAAATATACAGTTTATATTTTATCTTAAGCAATGTTAAAATTATTTTTCTACATGATTCACTTTGTACATCTATTATTCATAATGCATGAGACTGTCAACCTTAATAAAAAACATTCTGAAGGGCATGTGCTTTGGTTCTTCTCTTTAAACTCTCCCTTTTATTCATTTTCTTTGTTTTTAGTCATCCTAATTAATTCTAACATTCTCTTTCTTCGTATATTGAGAGTCATTTTTGTAACCACAGAAGTAAATACGTGACATGTTAATATAACAGTGACAGGCAGGATTGTTAAAGGAATGTTAAACATAATGAAAAATGACGACTCTTCATTTGTAAACTAGCAAATGACAACAACCAGCTTGACCGCAATAAAAACTGGGCGTGATTCTAACTTGAAAGTTTAACTTACATTTCTTTTCCCGGTTACCTCACACTCATCACCAAAGTTGCGAAACAAAAAATAGTGTTTCAGTGGCACGTATTCAGTCATATCAAATATGCTGAAGTATTACAAAAATGAGGATTTTTAATCAATGATTTTTTTTGACTGATTTGAAACCGAGTGGTCGTGTGTTGAAAGGGATTGTAGTTTTCTATTTTAATAATTTTAGTCTAAAAAAATACAGCTATGTTATTATTTAAACTGGCAAAGAAATATACTCAACCTCTTGAACATGCAATTGTGAAAATACTGATATGCAATTCATTAATGCACTCATTGTCTCACTTGGATTTTGATAGAAGTGGACGACAATAATTAATAATGAAAGACGAAAACATTCCCTCCCGAGTGGTGTTTTTTGCGCCCCCAATCTTCACAAGTGGAAAGATACTTCCTTCTTCGCCACAGCAAAAAAAAAAATGTAAATTTCATATTCAATGTGAAAAGAAAACCACGAAAAGGATGCATGGGAAGGGTTGATACTGTCCCTGAATTCATATCAATGAGAACATCTTTGAGTGCAGCAAAATTTGCCCCTTGCATTCCGCCCCTCGAATGAAGTCTCTTTTATACCTAGTGCAGCTTTAGTTTTACTATTTTTACTTTAGGCATGACTTATAACTGGCCTACTTTGGCTGGTTGTTTTTTACTTGTATTTATTGTCAAAATGCATTAAATTAATAGGAATTTAAAAGGAAGAGACACACCATTATTTCAATGTGCGCGTACATTTTGCACTTACACAATTCTGACATAATTTGTCTTCATAGATGTCAGGAAATTTTACGGAAAAGCACCAATATAGTCAACCTTAAAACTTCATTCATTCGTTTTCTAGCTTTATTTTATCTTTTTTTCATCTATTCATTTAAGTGACTATTTTTCAATTCGCTAATGTTTTTATTTTTTCACTAGATTCTTCCCTCCGCGGTCATCGAATCTCTCAATGGAGTCATGGTCAAGCTTGACCGGACACAGTGAAGTTACTGGACTGGAAAAGGCGTTTCCGGAACGCTCAGTAGCAATATTTAATAACAGAGTCCTACGTGGAAGTCATCCTTTAAATATATGTCACTTGACCGATAGTGATATTATACACTATAATTTGGCACGGTAGTATTTCGTAGTTCAAGGCAGGTATCTGTATACTTTATAAAATACGACGAATAAAATGATCTATTGACGTTGGTATGTTTCCATTTATACTGTATTTTATTATTAAATTGATTTTGCTCAAACTCCAGATTAATTTGCTTGATTCTCTAAAATGTCATATTATAACTTTTTCGATGTAAGTGTAGTATATATGTGATATAAGTTAATATTGCTTATAGTTTAATTGATTTGTGTTTAATCTAAATTCCTTTCACTGTCCATTGCTAGTCATAAACCATAGCTTTGTTCATGAAATTCACTTCTCTGCCATTGTACAGTCCCAAGTTACTAAAAATACATTGTCTATAATGTTTTAAGGTATATGTACTTTTATAACGGGTAAATATTAGATATTTTTAAACAGTATAAACTCAAAATTAACAACAAATGATCCATGTCCTTTTTGATCCCATACTTTCCCGCCATTTTGATACTGTTATTGCTCTCCGTTTTCTCTTCATTTTTTTCCTAAAGATCTCGCTTGATTTCATAACAAATATTTTCGCTGAATAACCATGATTCACAGATTAGTACTAACAGTTAAACACAAGAACTAAAACAGAATAAAGACTACACATGACGATGGGCGATTGATCGAAGAAAAAAGCCCTGAAATGCATTGAGGATATTTGCCAACGATACATAACTGGTCATACAAGCCGCGTGTTTCACGGCTCTTCACTTAGCTGCGACCTTTACCATGACAGATACAAGTACAAAACGCTGTGAATTGAAGGATGCCGCCGCACATGTAGCAAAGAAGTATTTGGCAGACCTAGTTGGCTCACAACAGTATCCAAACGGTCCAACACACAGAAACGAACAGGAAATTAGATATTATTTCTCATTTTCCCCGAAGGAAATACTCGTATTTGAGGAAAGCGACCCGATGTTTTTAGCCCAGCCAAATAAAGTGCTGTTTCCCGAAGAAAGGAAGTAAATGTTTGGAAGCTGTTTTTCGCCTAGTTTGCACCAAACTGTTTTCTTTTTATATGTTCCGCCATATCTTTAAAAATGATTTTAACAAGTTACTAAGTGGCCAGCCCTCTGATTAGTGAGCTCTCACGTGAAGTTGCCATAAGGGTGGGATCCGGCATCTTGAAAATAATTTCTTTCATCTTGAAAATTATTTTGGTAATTTTCCCTGCGAGAAAATGTCTTTCTTTCCCAACTCCAACGATAGACAACTGTGGCTGTAGTTGAACTATACTGATGTTAATAATAAGTCTGGAGGACTCTGAATTGGTTATATTTTCTGATTTCTTATGTACGTTGTTCCATAACGCCCCATTTAAATGATATGTAGTAAGGAAAATGTTTCTCTCATTTTATCCAACACTTGAAGCTGCATTTTTCTTAACATTATCACTGTGTTAAGAGCTAAACAGTTGATGCATATCAAAGAGTCCCGGGCTTCCCTCATTAGAATACATAATGCAAAATTAAGATTTTGTTAAGATATATGCTTCCGTCCCTAATGACAAAGAAGTTGCATTGATTATGGTCCTTCAAGTTAGTATGCATCATATGAATGGACACGTACGTGTAATCATTTGTGTATGGAGTGTTTAAGTACAGAGAACGAGCGCGTAGACATTGTAGGGTGTTTTAAGGCAATTTACTCCGTCCACAGCTAGCTACCCATCATTTCCTACTGCCTGGTAGCAGATTTTGCCGGGTCCATTTTAACAAGTAAACACTTGAAATTGCTCTTAACACTAACGCTGAAAAACGGAGTGCACTGAAGGTTTTGATGCATGGGTTTCTCACCTCTGTTTGCCACGTAATAAGTGACTCAGTTCCAGCTGTGGATGATCGTCTCTACAGAGCTCTATACTCGTGCTATGCAACCCCACTGATGCTTTGATATACAATCCTGACTTCAAGCATGATGTTGTACATGTACATGTCCTTTTCTTAGGATTTAGAAGAGATTTTATGTATTTAAACTGAAATTATTTTTTAGTGTCTCGTAGTTCTTTATAGAACTGTCTTGTTGTAATAACTGTTTTAACTTTTATTGTTTTTATTTTTTACCTTTATGGGTGAGTCTTTAATAAAACAAACTGAAACTGAAACTGGTACAATATTATTCTTGTTATAAGTATACATTTCTCTGTCTAACCTACTTTAGTTACTATTACTCCTACACGAATATTCGCCTTGACATTGCATCCCTTCTTGGCCATAAGAGTTTTCCTTTTTTAAAAATTATTCATCCAAATGACTAAATTGTTTTTTGATTAGGGGAAACTAAACATGAATGGAGGAGGCATGACATTCCCTCTTACACATTGTAAAATATTTAATTGTCTTGACAAAAATTTTCGCATTGTGTATTCTTTTGTATTTTGAATCAGTCCATAAATCATCTTATGGTATTATTTGTACAACAGAGGGGAGAACACGATTAAATATATCTAAATACACGATGTGTGTAGGTGTATATCTTATCTTTGCGGGTGAGTTATCTGTTTTAAATCAATCTTATTATGTAGGAATTCTTAAAATAGTTTTTATATATCAGGGAGCTTTATTTCAGATATAATGAGGAACAGAGGGCTAGTAGAAAAACAGGCAGTGTACGTAGTGAACGTTTCTGTATCTGAAATATTCATAATGACAGGAAGGGAAACGTGCCATCAACTTGATGATGATATATTTTGTACATGGTTTACAAGTACACACACAGAGAAAACTTACTTTTCATCCAGTTAAAGAGCGGTGCCTGTTGGTCCCCTTTCGCATCCCCATCCATCTCTTCATCCGTGTCCCCTTCAAACGTGTCCTGCTCCTTCACGTCTTGCTGCTTCTGCTGTTTCTCTTGCTGTTGTTTTTCCTTCCTGGGCAACGAGGCCGGGGCGGCAGGCAGGGGGCTTCCAGCCGGACTCACACTATGGTCACTAAGACGCTCTGAGACATCGTGGTTGAGTCGTGAACCACCTCCACCATTGCTATTGCCGCCAGTCCCACCCCCTCCTCCTCCCCCTCCGTTCAAACGCGGCGTCGTGCCCCTGTGAGATTCCTTGGAGGCTGCCTTCACGCCGGCAGCTGAGAGAGCTATGGAGGAGTCCGCTTTACTGCAGGAATTCCTCTGGAATAATTTGGGCGAGAGAGAAGAGAGGGTGGTGGACAGATGGGGAGGGGAGGAGGACAGCGTCGACGAGGTGTAAGTTCCATACGCTCCATAAGGTTTATAATCGAGATGATGGTTCGGAGGAGGATTGAACTGAATCGGCGTGCAGTTCGAAATGTCCGTGACGGTCGTCGTTTCACCGACTCCGTCCCCGTTCGAATAACCGTGTACTTCCCCGTGATACTGAACCGGCTGATGGGCCGAGCTGGTCACGGCCGCGATCACCGAGTGCTCGTAACTGGGATAGAGCGAAGACGCCGCAGCCGTGGTATGATCCCTGGCGGCACCGCTGCCGAAATCATGATAGTTCTGTAGGGCAGAGTGGTGATGTGATCCCAGTGTCGACGAATGATGCCTCAGAGTCGGGTCAGGTTCATTTAGCATGCCAGGAGATGTAATATGCGCATAGTGGTCCACAGGCGGTACCACCGCTTGATAAGCGTCTATGTACGAGCTGGTAAAATACGAGTTCATAATTCCACCATAAATTCTCTCCAAGTGAAAACAGTCAACATATCGTGGGTCAGGAGTCAACAGTTTTATAGCTCGCGCATGCGCCCTGCGGCTCCTGAACCCCTCTACCAATCAGATCGCTAGATGATAGATGGCATGCCTAGTTCGAGCTGACAAAACTGTGGTGTACATGTACGTACTAGTCCACTCAATAACAATCTGTGAGTTAAAAAAAAACAGTGCATCGATATAGCTCTTATTTCACTCGCTTTCTTTCTATTTTTTTAATAGTTATCACTGTCAACATAATATATGCATATAGCACGTCTACGTCTGTGCAAATTTAGCGTCGTTATTATAACATGAAGTAATACAGTGTAATACGAAAACAGGAAAAGGCGAGGTTGTTGTCATGTTTAATCATTTGTTGTTGTTTTTTTTTTCTTGGCGATGAGCAATGAATAAAGAAAACTAGAAATGCGCCGTGTGGGGTTTACTTAGATGTTGTTGACATAACGGTTTGATGATTTTCGAGAAGCGAAGAGGGATGTGACAACAAATATTACTTTTACCAATTACAAGGTAGAGACAACGACAACAATTTCTCATATGTACAACATTGAAAAACAATCCCTTGTCCAATAACCACAGCCGCCATAACTTTTCACAAACAATTACAACCGACACTAACAAGGGCATGAATTTATAAGGTGAATTTCACTTGGAGAAATCAAAGAAGATAAAAGTACAGCAGTGCGACTAAAACTTCACACAATTTAACAAGGAACGTGTAAACAGCCATCAAGTCCGGCGACACCTCGTAACGCCGTATTGTAAAACGAAAGACACGAAGACGGGAAAGAAGTATCAGCATACATAACACGGTAGCACATGCCTTCGCCGTGTCCGTGTTGAGATAACAGCTTTACCAGTCACGGCTTTAAGGCGGCGTACATGGGCCTTTGATCTTCGCGTGGGGGACACCCTGTAATTTCGTATCATCCCCTCCGCCGTGATCTACCGATACGCTTATTACATCACTTGCTATTGTTTGGGCATTGTCACTAATGAGACCACCTTCCCTTCGGGTGTTCAGATAGTGCGGTTGACTGGGCCTCGGGGATTTTTCCGTCGATTTTAATATGATGAAACGCACTGGACAGTCTAGCTCTCTGTACTAGCAGGCGGTTCTTTCAGTCGTGCATATACACTTCGAGAAGATTACTGAGAAATAGGGAATGTAAATAGAATTTTTAAAACTTATTCATTTTTGTCTACCATTGATGGCACCGCAAACAGTTAAAGGACCGATTATTTCTGAATAAAAGTTGTTTATTTACCGTTTTATAAACTTCTGCTTGTAACTTGTGGCACATTTTACATAGATAGTACATTTTTTTTACACTTCCTGTGCCTGTGCCTGTGAATACAATAAATCTTGTATTTGAAATCACTGCCTCATCTCTTAAAAACAGTATACAATATATTAAAAATAGTTTAAGGCTTCATTCACATGCAATGTCTATTTTCTAAATTCTATTTTCTATTCGCGGTATAACTTATGATCACGGTCTGTGCCCTGAATATCCCGCGGCGTAATTACTGGCAGCGCGAGCCAGTTACTGTAAGTTACTATAAGTAACTGGCTCGCGCTGCCAGTAATTACGCGGCGGAATATTCAGGGCACAGACCGTGATCATAAGATAGCGCGAATAGAAAATAGATTTTTAGAAAATAGACATTCCATGTGAACGAAGCCTAAGGTTTGAGTGGTCGGTGTATACAGAACCACGCCACCCGTGTGACAGTGATCTTTTCTAAAATACCGTTTATGGTGCATTGCGTGTTTTCAGTCCTACAAAACTAAGTGGTTCACTTTAATACGTACAAAACGTAAATAATTTTGGGGTTCGATTTTTAGCTTTTACAGAAATCAAAGACCTGTGTGAGTTGGAGGTGTGTAAAAATATCCTGTGGGTAATTATGAGAAGCTAAAAAAAAATACTGAGCAGCAATAGATATCGTTCAAGGAAATATGAGTGTGAACTCCTTTAAATATGAATCTCCCAAAATCTCAACATTGCATACAAACAGTCTAATCGAACGAGGTTTAAAAATCGAAAGCATTTTTATCAGCACACACACACACACACACACACACACACACAAAAAAAAAAAAAAAAAAAAAAAAAAAAAAAAAAAAAAAAAAGTTGACAAAATTCGTGCACCGTATTACAGGTATATATCCGTTACCAAAAGCACACTGAACCTCAAATAATACATATTATGTTTACTGAAATCTAACAAACAGGCCACGTGGTCTCTATCACGCTTCCTGGACAGCGGCAATAACTTAACATCGTTTACAAGTCTATTATAAAGCAATTCAGCCTCAATAATTAGAAACCCTAGACGAGTTAATGAGCTCCGAATGAATATCGGGTATCGGCCACACGCGTCTGGCGTTTGTATGGTAATAGATATAGAAACGGACATGTTAAATGTACATCGATGGACGTTTATGACCAATTCAGTTTTTGTGTTTTCTTGGGCATTGTTTGTTATATATGAATGAAATCAAACATTTATTTGGCATTTTCGTGACGATGACTTATATTTTGTGACTTTTGACAAAAAAGGATTGTTTTTTTTATTTTAATATAATAATTAAAATTATTGGCTTCAATACAGGAGTGTACACGTAGTAAAGCCTTAAATAGAAAAAAGCTCTCCGCGTCTTTGTTATTGTGGAACGAGAGACCATGCATATCTCAAAAATATGGAAAACACCTGTGTATCCCTTTATCACTACACCGTATGATAAACATCGGACGACAACATTGGGTTATCCACTTTTTGATAATAACCTGGGTGGATTTGCATTGTATCTTGATTTGCATCTTTCCATACAGCTCTTATCAACTTACTTGCAAAATTGATAATTAGACTGTCCGTCATTAGCTAATTGTTTGAGTGCGTTTATATGGATAATGGTAAGGATACAAGTAAAGGTAGTTTTGGATCCCAAAGTGCAGCCGTGAGACGTGGGATTTACCGTACATGGCGGATCTCTGATAATTATCTTACACAATTTACGCTCGACCTCCCCCTCTGTGAACACGAAGAAAGGAATTTTGATTCTCAGATTGAAGCTGGAGAAAATATGCTGGATATTGAGTCGCTTATTACATGTACTCTTTATTGTTTAGATCGTTTGATATTGGCCAAAGATCTTTTCTTGTTGCAATTTTCCATGACCAACTTCGCAGAGCCGCTAGCCGCGTTATTCATAATAGGTTTTCTATGAAAGGGAAAACAGACAAATAATTAAGGATCAGAGACAGTTTTTGATTAGTTATACTAAAAGTGATTATGAATGCACGCTCTTCTGATTTTAATCGACAGAAGATGTCCATTTGGGAAAGAGTGGACAACCGATGACTAGACAGCCCAGGGCACTTTGGCGGGGTCGATTCGCGCCGGAACTTTAGTGGGAAGCTTGGGTGGATTCTACCACAAAACAGGTGGAACATTCAACTATCGTCTCGCCAATGCAGTGATAAAAGTCTACATTATATTCTGCCGTTAGTTTCATTTTTACAGTAATACATCGAGTCATTCAAACGTTACAGGAGAAATTCCTAGACGCCATCCAGCGTAACTCACAGGGAAGATTACCCTAGGTTCTAGATTCCGGTATTGCCAGCTCGATCTTGATTTCATATATAACCCATATCAACAATACCGGTAAAAGCGACCCCATCACAAGGTATATTTAACAAGCTAGCTTTTACGTTGCTCTGACACTCAGGGTAAGGGAAGATTCATACCGAGGACAAACGTGTTTTGAAGCGTTTTATGAGAATGCCTTTACACTGCAGCTAACGAATCTTCCGTTACTCTTTGTATAAGTGAACCGATGGCTATATCACTGCATATTCGGGGCTCGTACAAATACCTCACCAATGAAACAAGGGTACATTTGCAGTGCAAAACTACCATGTTTCGGAGTGCTTGGTTTTCTCTCGAGAGACCTATCTATCATACGTAATCTTTTAAATGTGTCTAGCCCTGTGTTACCCAATGTTTGCACCATAAAATTAACACCAAGTTAGCTAATTACATACGCAAAGAGAGTACGTTATCATTTCTCTCTCACTTCATCATGTAGGTTGTATAACCCAAATGTATCATCTGTTCCTTTTATAATAACAAAGTTTATATTGGGAAATATGAAAATGGATATAGCTGTTTGAGTTTTCAAATGATTTGGGAAACATTTGCAGTGTCTATTTCGAAAAACAAAATAACAACAACATTGTTTAAAGCTTCAAGAAACTAAGTATGGAAATGAGGAGAATTATAGAGCATATGTTATATTGTATTTTATTATTTAAGCAAAATGATATTTTTATATAAAACTTTGTGTCGTATCTGGCATACTTGCTGCTGGATTCGGGGTTTTACGAAGGGGGGGGGTCAGAAGGAATAAAATGATTTTCTAACTTCTATCGGCAAATATGACATATTAGACCAAGTCAGTTATGATGTAATATGTAGGGAACATGGGTGGAAAATGCTTAATGTCTTTTTTTTTTTTTTTGGGGGGGGGGGGGTTGGGGGTGGAGAGGGCGTACAAAAGGTGGTGTAGCTCCTAAATAGTGGGGGTGGTACATTGTCATTGTAATTTATCGATATGGAGTTCGGATTGGGCATAATAATTTGAAAACAGTTGTATCTACATGTTCATTCAATTGTTTTTTCTGGAATGTATCGCGTGTTCAAACACCAAGTCTTTTATTGAAAGAATGAAAAAGGTAGAGGTGTTAAAGTCATATATCCGCATTTTGTTTTTTTCAACATTTTATGTTATTCATATTCTTTTTTTCCTGTAAAAGATTATAACAATATAATGGCTCTGGTAAATATCAGGTTATGACCGAAGACATAATGAACAAAAGTCCACGGAGAATCAGCAAAAGGCGTTAAACCTTTTTTTTTCTGTTAGGAGAGCATAATCATAGAAAACGGGCGAACGCCTCCAGGGCTGGTAAAGGCAGATGTCGGCGTTGCTCTAATTGCGTTATGTTAAAA